GGGATCCAAGTCTAAACAAGAAATTGGTTTGTTTCATATACACCATATACTAGGGCTGGGCGGTTTCGTTTGTTAATTTTGTAATTCGTTATTAATTCATTATTTTTTTTATAACGAAGCGATATTGAACCATTCAGGAGCAACTAAAAAACGAAACGAATTTTTCCAATTCGTTTCGTAATTGTTTCGAAATTGTTTCGTAATTGTTTCGAAATTGTTTCGTTATTATTTCGTTATTATTTCCGTATGTCTGGTGCAAGTTTTATAGTCGTTGTTTGTTTTATCAGTGATAAAAAAAATTATCACACCAACAGTCAACAACAGAGGGAGAGGGAAGCTTCAGAAGTTCCCCCTGTCCCATTTGGAGGGTTTTTTAGCGTATTGCGCAATCGCGTCCGCCATTAACGAATTGATTCGTTATTGTTTCGAAATTGTTTCATAATTTCCGAAATTTCGTAAATATCGAACTTTTTAAAAGAAAAATTTCGGAATTCTTTTAAATAACGAAAAACCCCTAAAAATGAATCGAGTTTAGAAACAAATTTTTCCGTGGTTGGACAGCCCTACCATATACATGTAGCCTGAAAGGTAATCTCTATATATAAAAACCTAATGGTCATCGTTAGTGGCCTAAAAACAAACAAACAAACTATGGGGCCAACTGACATAAAATTTGGCCTCCAAACTTCTCATACCGCAAAGTATGACCAACAATCATAAAAATTAAAATAAACTACCAAAAAGAACTAAAACGTTCTAAAAAGGGAGAGGACAACACAGAGCATGCGCACAGGGGTGGGGAGGGTGCACGCGTGCAGGATAACTCCTCCATTGTCTCTCTCTCACCTTGGCTACACAGTCCTCCTTGCTCTGGCCGCTTGCTTTCCCCACCCCCATTGGCTTTTCTTCATCGCCGAAAGAAGCAGCAGCCGGCAGGGAGGAGAGCGAGGTGGGGAGAAGCCCCCTGCTCAGAGGGAGGGAGGGAAGGAGGGAGCCCCGCAGGGGCTGCTGTGCTACTGGCAGTGAGGGCAGACCTCCGTTTATATTGCTGGCAGCTCCAACAGCGCAGGAGGGAGTTGGTTTGGGGAGACGTGGGCCCCGAGCAGCCGCACAAAATTGACCACTCCCACTCCCTTGGCCTGTAAAGGTGTGTGTGCATGTGCCTGATACAGATTATGATAAAGCTTAGGCTGGCCATCTGTCAGGACTGGTTTGATTATGTTTATCCCTTATGACATAAGTGGCTGGACTGGATGGCCCTTGGAGGTTTCTTCCTACCCTAGGATTCTATTAATATTTTGATTATTACTAATACTGTTATTAACCAGCATCTAAATGGCCATCTGTCAGGAGTGCTTTGGTTGTGCTCCTCCCTTATGGCAGAAGGGGCTGGACTAGATGGCCTTTGGAGATCTCTTTCTACCCTACTACTCTATTATTAACCAAAGTCTGAATGGCCATCTGTCAGGAGTGCTTTGGTTGTGCTTCTCCTATATGGTAGAAGGGGCTGGACTAGATGGCCCTTGGAGGTCTCTTCCCTCCCTTCCCATCCTTTTCTCTTCTGGGCTTGGTGTCACTGTCAAAGGGATCCCTGCTTGGCACAGAGCCAAGAAGGCAAGCAGTCCACTTAAGCCCCACAGAGAGAGAGATAAAATGACTGAGGGAGAAAGAAAATCCTTCTAGCAGCAGCAGGAGGAGGATGAGCCTGGCAGGTCAAGGCCACCCCTGAGCATCAAAAGAGTGCCTCAGGAGAGTGGTGTGTGTTGGTGGGGGCAACTTTATAGCCCTTGTGGCCTTTTAGGAAGGAAAAGGAAAAGACGCCACTGTAGAATTACAGGCAGTCTTCAACCTACAAACAAGATCTGTTTTCTAGGTTTGTTCTTTGGTTGCATTTGTATCTACGGCCGCTTCCACACACCTGAATAAAACCCCACATTACCAGCTTTCACATGGAATATATGCCAGTGTAGACTCAGATAAACCAGGGCCCTTCCACACAGCCCTATAACCAGAATATCTAGGCACAATAACCCACAATATCTCCTTTACACTGGGTTTTCAGAGAGCCCTTCCGCACAGCCCTCTATCCCAGAATATCAAGGCAGAAAACCTCACATTATCTGAGTGTGGACTCAGAAAACCTAGCTGATACTGTGCGATTTTCTACCTTGATATTCTGGGATAGAGGACTGTGGGGAAGAAAGGAAAGAAAGAGGTAGAGAAGGAAGAAAGCAGAGAAAGGAAGAAAAAAAGACAAGGAAGGAAGGAAAGGAAGGAGAGAAAGAAAGGAGGGAAATTTGACCACAGCAACACGTGGCAGGTACAGCTAGTTTTATATACAATATTTTTAATAACTCTGGAACAAAGTTTGAGTTCATAAAACCTCAGGAAAGCAAGAGCTTCACTATATCAACTACCCATGTGGACAAATTTGGACAATTTTGAATTTCTGGATAAATGATTCCCAACCTGTATTTGTTATGTGTTCCTGTTATGCTCCAGTGGGCTCAAGGTGTAATTCAGAGTTTCTCAGACTGCTCCTCCAGGTGTTTTGGACTTCAGCTCCCTGAAATCCTAGCTGTTTTACCACCTGCTAGGAATTGTGGGAGCTGAAGTCCAAAACACCTGGAGGAGCAGAGTTTGAGAAACACTGGGTTAAACCATTCCCTTATAAGACATATAGCCATATACATAAATGGTAATTTTTAATTTTTAATTGTTATTTTATTGTTTTATCCCACTCCTCCCCTCCTTGTACATGCAATTTATACAGCAAACTACAGAAGTTACATTTGAAATATCAATCTCAGTCTTAATTTTTCCACTCTTCATCTTGGCACATTCTCTAAATAATTCATAACTGGTTCCCACGTCCTCTTAATTATTGTAACCTTTTCAACTTTATCTATATTGTTCCATTTGCAATTTGTTATTTCCACATTTAACATATTAACTATATACTTATACCAATTTGTCAGAGTCCATTTTGTTTTATCTTTCCAACCCCTCACTAAAACAATTTGTGCAAACACTATTAATTTGTCAACCAATTTTTCTTTCTATGTATTCTTCACTCCTGTTATCCTTGCATGTATTACATTTCTATTAACTATTAATATTTGTAGATATGACATTCTATTGATTTCTCCTTCAGTCATTCTCCAGTAATATACATAAATTGTAATAATGAAATATATAGAGATACAACATATCTCATGAAACCTTTCATTTATATTCTTAAAATTATATGATTTGTAAGATAGTAACACATTTCCAAAACGTTTGTCATTTCTGATAAACAATATATTACCAGTACTAATGTTAATGGTGTTCCTAATGCTAATTGGCACATTTGCTGCCTAAAAATGCACACAAGTTGGTTATTGCTTATTACATATCCACTCAATGGTTTCTTGTTAGGTTTATGTGACACACCTGCACACTGCGCCCTCCAGTTTGGAAAGTTCTGCCTAGAAATCCCAGATTCCAGTACAACAAAGTAATGCATTGTACATGTTCTTATATCATAGCATAGTTACATTGTTTGGAAGCCTGCAAGGAGCAATACATTGTAAGACAATGATGTTGATGCTTAATCTTCACTTTCCACAGGATGGTATAGAAAAGCTATGGGCAAACTCAGGCTCTTTTGTCAGGCCTTCCTCTCTCACACAATCCTTTCCTTCCTTCTCTCTTTCCTTCTCAATCTTCTATTCCTTCTTTACCTCCCTCTTTCTCCTTCCATCCTTCCCTTCTACCCTTTCATTTTTACTTCCTATCCTCTCTCTTTCTGCTTCTTCCTACTTTTCTTCTTTCCTTTTTTCCTTCTTTCTTTCCTTCCTTCCTTCTTTTTTGTCTTTCCCTCCTTTTTTCTTTTCTCCCTCCCCTTCCCTCAGTTCTCTTCTACTCTTCCTCCCTCCCTCTCTCCCTTCCTTCTCCCCTCCCTTCCTTCTCTTTCCTTCCTCCTGGGGGATGTTTAACTGGGAGAAGAGAAGGTATAGAGGGAACATGAGAACCACGTTTCAAGATTTAAAAATTGAGGAGGAAGGAGGGGGGAAGCTGATTTTCTGCTGCTCTAGAGACACAGGGCACAAAGGAACAATGGGTTCGAATGGCAGGGTGATGGCCCTTGGAGGTCTCTTCCAGTTCTAGGATTCTAGGATTATATATCAGGAGTAGGCAATATGAGATCTAATGGATATGCATTTTCTCTCCTGTCTACCATCTCATCCTGACCAAGGCCAACCCTTTTGGGACCCAAACATGTTCTATTTTTTTTTCATTTTCTGCCTCCAAAAGAGAAGGGAAGGAAAGGGAGATCTCTTCTTTTCAGATGCCTCTCAGCTTCCTCCCTTCCCCCATTTCAAACAGACTCTCTTCCCTTCCCATACACCCCTATTTGTGTAAAGGCTGAGCTTCCAAGGGGAGAAGTGTTCACCTATTGATGTGTTGCGGAGAGAAAGAAAGAGAGTGAAAGTGAGAGGTGGGTGTGACAGGACCTGCTCTCTGGGCAGCCAGTCCTCCTGGCATGGAAGAGACTTGGGGAGAACCCCCTCCTTGCCAGTCTGCCCACCCCACTCTGGCCCGCCATGTGGCCCCCAAGTTAAAAAGTTTGAAAATGCCTGGTATAAAAAATAAAGATTCTTTCTTTTCCAATCTTATATTCACAGCCTATCCATCACATTTTCTATGATGTAGGAGGTGGGTAGGCTGGATGATAATGAGAGAAGCAAAGTTACGTAAGTGAACTTAATGGCTGTGTGGAGGCTTGAATCTGTCTAATCTTGCAGTCATTGTCAGTGGGTGGAAGAGGCTTGTATCTGTTGGCTTGCCTATTGATCTGCGTATTCAGCAAAGGTAGGGCATTGCTGTTTACATACTGTTATTGTTAATTGCTGAAATAACTAAAGCATTAAATTGTTTTTTTAACTTTGGATTAAATTAAACCCTCAATTTTGAGAAGGCTGTGTTGTCAAAATGTGTTCTTTTTCTTTATATAGAGAGCTGTGGTGCGTATGGATGAGCGGCGAGAAGAACAGATTGTACAGTTGTTGAACAGTGTTCAGAATAAAAATGAAAAAGAGCAAGAAGCCTCGTCTTGGTGGTCTGATGAAGAAAGGTAATAAGTCTGTTGCGTCCTTTTTTTATTTGCAAAAATACCCAGTGGGTATCCTTGGCTGAGTGGAGATTTGAATAATAATATAAAGCAATGGGAAGCTTGCTTTCAGAAATTTTGAACATACTATGCTATTTCTGTTTTATTGTGTGCACTCTGAGGGGACTTCATGTACAGTTAACACTATCTGTTTGTCTTATACTAAAAAGTTAAGGGAATTTTGTAGCACCTTTGAAGCTGAGAAAAAGATGTTTCTGACATAACATTTTATGGATTCCATTTTACTCTGTCATAGTTTTTCCCCCTTTGATATTGTCACCCAATAGCACATTAGAATATTGTTGCTTAATTTATAAATATTTGCCTGTGCAGTGCCTAATGACAATAGTGGCTAGTTCAGCTGATTGGGAAATGTGGTTCTATTCTTATTACATGGTAATAAGAATGGCCATCATCCTCTCCTGATGCCATTATGGTGGTATTAATCCGAATGCCTTTCTCAAAGTGTTATAGTTACAGGAGTGCAGAACAGCTTTTTGTCCTCCAGGTATTTTGAACAACCTGATGCCATTTTCTATATTGGTTGGAGCTTCTGGAAGATAAATAGGCATAGATTCCACACACTGCATTAAAGACAGTCTTGCTGTATTTATACTTACTGGGCTAAATAGGACATAACTTAAGGTAGTATTGAAAAACAGGAGGAAGGAGAATAGCTGTCTGGTGTAGCAGGTTAGGCAAGAAGGGCAGTGATTTAGTACCCAGTATTTGAGATTGTTTGCAGGTGTCACCAAAATCAGTAACATCAAACTGGACACAAGACTGGAGGTCATAGACTGTAAATGTCAAATGTATTAGAGGCTGTGTGCTTTTTTGTTAGGGTGTAAGCTCTATTCAACTCAGTGGAATTTACATTTGATAAGAGCAATATCGTTTTTCAGAGTAATGTTTATTAAGACATAGATCACTTATGACCTGTTAAATCTCTTTCAGGGACACAAAAGAGCCTCCTGCCAAACCAACCCCCCCTGTTGTGGAGAAACCTGTTGTGGAAAAACCTCCTGAAAGAACTAGGCGAACCTTTGAAAAAACATTCCTAGATCAGGATTCAGAATTTCTTCTACAAGAAAATAAGCCAGATGTTAATTTAGATGAGCAACTCAAAGAAGACATGATAAAGAAGAGGAGTAGTGCCAGATATATTGAGATGCAGGTAATAAGAATTTGTGAAATTGAGATGCAGGTAATAAGAATTTGTGAAATGGAGGAGACCGTTTGTACAGGATACATGTTTGTTTTGATTGGGTTTATGAAATTATTAATGATCTCTCAATAAAAGAAGTACTGTTTCATTCAGTTCCATGTGTGGATGTGAACAAGTGGTACAGTGCTAGATCTACTTTTCTGTGTCTCCCCGACTTTGCTAGAAATAACATCAATAATGTTTGTCTTTTTTTTCAGAATGTGTACTTTATTTTAGGGAAAAGATATGTAGTTGGGTGGATTTCAATGGCTTCTCTGTGTGGTCTGACATATTAGTTGTTAGAGTGGTCCAGCATTCCTGTGTTCTCAAATAATATGCCGTTTCCAGTTCTTTCTCCCACCCTGAACATTCCACAAATATATAAACCCAACTTGCCTAGTTTCCAACAGACCTCACAACCTCTGAGGATGCCTGCCATATATGTGGGCAAAATGTCAGGAGAGAATGCTTCTGGAACATGGTCATACAGCCTGGAAAACTCACAGCAACTCAGTGATTCTGGCTATGAAAACCTTAGACAACAGATACATAGATTGCAAGATTCAGTCAAATGCTTTTCTAAAATCTAGTTCAATATTAGATGTGTTTTTCTGGTTATCATAGATTATACCTGTAAACTATGCAATAATGTGATTAGATTTAAAACTGTTAAGCAAATTAGTTATAAACATGAAATATGTTTATGTAACTTTTTTTTTTAATTTGTAGAGATTTCGAGAGAAACTGCCTTCTTATGGGATGAGGAAGGTAACTAAATATCTTGAAATTTTGTATTTTTATTTTAATCTTCACAGTTGGGATGTATAGGCTTAACATGACTTAGTCTTAATCCAAATTAGTATGAAGAACTCAGAAATAAAATATTAAATGTATAGGATAATGATTCTTTCTATGAAGGAATAAGAATTTTGTGGTATAATAATAGATAAAATCATTTCATTTATTCAGACAAGAGCTGTCATGTAGTTGTGAATTATGAACCTAAATTTAAAATAGCACTTTTTAAAATGATGACTGTAACTCTAAAGATAGTACTGCAGTTTAAAAATTTATAGACAAATTAAGTGGTTATTTATAATATACATCAAAATGACAATTAATTGAGATGGCTTCTAGAGCAATTCTGTGGGTTTGGACTGGGAAGAAACTGTGACAGAGCAACTGTCATTGCTTTTACCCTGTTGGACTTCTGCCCGCTGGGACACAAAGTTCTCTCTGCATATGTGTTTTTGTTGTTCCTTTTTTGTTATTTTTCATATCCTTCCTTTCATTCAAGTGGAAGAAAGAATGTACCAGGTCCATCACAGCTGATGGTGGGGTATCCGGGGTATGTTTGGGGAACTGAAGGACTTTGAATCCTTTTCTCATTGGATCCGCTTCAGGCATATCCCTTCTATCCAGTCTTTACTAGACCAGTGCTCTGCTTTTGCAGCACTACTAACAGTGAAGGTTTCTATCCTTGCAACAAAGATACCTTTGTGGTAGGCCATCTCTACTTGTATGTAGGTCTCTAGGTCCACCTACAGTATCTAATGATCTTTGGGCATGCTCCCACTGATGAAAGCAAGGTGCCCTTAAGCACCAAAAAATGTTTAGTTTCTATTTATATCTGAAATATGCTGATAGAATACTATCTAAGCCAATCAAGAAACACTATGTTGATTGTGTGAAGCTTGCATATATTTTTTTACAGTTCATGAAAATATTCTTGATTTCTCCCCATTATTACTCAGATGAATAGTTACAACTATTTTAGTTTATCTTTTTAATAATGAGGATGGTGACTCAAGTGTAGGTTTCTAACATGAACTTTGGAACTATCTGTATTGGATGTGGTAGAGTCTCACCTCTCCCACATAGCTAACCCGTTTGTATTTTGATCTAAGGAAAAATGTTTTGTGTATGTGTGTATCTGTATGTGTAAGGAGCTACTTGAGAAACTGCAGGTTGCTTCTGGTGTGAGAGAATTAGCCATCTGCAAGGACGTTGCCCAGGGAACGTCCAGATGTTTTGATGTTTTACCATCCTTTGGGAGGCTTCTCTCAGCATGGGGAGCTGGAGTTGACAGAGAGAGCTCATGCACACTCTCCCCAGATTCAAACCTTTGATCTGTCAGTCTTCAGTCCTGCCGGCACAAGGGTTTGACCCATTGTGTCACTGGGGGCTCCTAAAATAAAAGTTGAGTTAATAGAAGTGTGTTTAGAAAGAATTGGGTTCACTATGCAGGTGCTTTTGGTGTCATGAATTCCTTCCCAGGAACAGATTGTTTATGTTGGTTTATTGGGCAAATGTTATGAATCTGTTTCAGTTTCTGAATGAATCAATACTTAGACACACAGATGTGCATAGGAAATTATTTATTTTCTGTTTCTAAAATAGGAGCTTGTAAACCTTATAAACAGCAGTCAAGTTACCGTTATAAGTGGTGAGACTGGATGTGGAAAGACTACCCAAGTTACTCAATTCATTTTGGATGACTATATTGATAGAGGGAAGGGTTCTTCCTGCCGGATTGTATGTACTCAACCTAGGAGGATCAGTGCTATTTCGGTAAGTTTTAATTTTATATTTATCTGTTCTTTAATGAAATAGAAATTACCTTCACCAGAAAATATACTCATTCTTAATGTTGTGTTTTTGATTTTAAGGTAGCAGAAAGAGTTGCAGCCGAAAGGGCTGAGGCATGTGGTAATGGAAGGAGCACCGGGTATCAAATTCGTCTTGAAAGGTACATCATTATTATTTTTGATTAGTTTATATGTATTGGGGCAAAATAGAATTTTTGTAACTTTGAGTGGAAATGTTTTTTTATTATTGAATGTTGAGACAAAATATTGCTTGTCCTTGTAGTCTGCAGCATCTAATTTTGATGAAGCAGAACACAATTTTTTACCAAGGCCTTCTCAAGATTACTGAAATCTTCACTGCTACTGTGGTCTTTAAGGAACTCCTATGCATACTTTACAACTCCCTCTATGTGATAACATTTGGACGGAAGAATCCATGATAATATGGCTAGGCTACACTGCTCAGTTTTTTACTAGTTTGTACAGCGATCTTGTACAAGTTTAGTACATACTTTCAAGGATTAAATAGTTACTGCTCTTATGAACTATTCAATCAATATAAATGTCTTTGGATATACTGTTTTTACTGAATCGAGAGAAACATATTTGAATAAGCTAGGGTGTTTTTTTTGTTTTGTTTCTTTTCTTTGATTGTTTTGCTGTCTGTTTTCAATCAGCTATATTTTAACTTGTATGTTTGCTGCTTCTGGGAAATTAGGACATGAAATAAAGGACAATACTACAGAGTGTTAGTTCAGGTTGCGCAAATTTCACTGAACCTAGATTGTTGTGTTCAGTCCTAGAGCTTCCTAGAAGTAAAACATGTAGGGGAAAATTGGATTGTATTTGAGCTGTGGTTCAACTAAATTGCTTCCTGGAATAAACTGAAGACTTCCTTAGACTTCCTGCTTCTTGGTTAAGTTATAGTCAGTTGTTTAAACATTGCAGAAGCCATATTTTTCGATGGAAATTATCTGAGAACACAAAGCAGAAAGGGTACAATATAAGATGGCCAGGTGCTGTTTTATTCTGTGGATATATTGTGAAGAAAGGCTGGTTCAGGAGGACTGTTCCTTCAATATTGTTACAATTCCATTGAATGTGTCTGGATGCAGATTATTGTCTACAGTGGAGCTCACCCCCTCTAATGTTTATATAGAATTTCACTTTGGTTTTTATTGCACGATGACACATTGCATGTTTGCATACTAATAAGTGAATGCGAGTGCTGAAGGCATAGCAACTGTCGTTAGAACACTTAAAAATATCCGTCTACCTTTTAGCATTGCAGTAATTTTTCAAGTGCAACAAAAATGGAATTGAAGTATTCTTAATGGATCTCTTTTTCAGTCGGTTACCAAGGAGACAAGGTTCAATTTTGTACTGCACAACAGGAATTGTCCTACAGTGGCTCCAGTCAGACAAGTACGTGTCTTTCTATTTCAGAACTAAATGCATTTCTGAATCCATACATTACATTTTATCAAATGAGTGTTCCTGATTTTTGTGTTTCTATACCTTTCAGTTTATTTATAATGTATTCATGTTCCATTTCTGATAAACATGGTGGTGATGAGCTCTATTTTATGTTGCCGCAGGCAGTTGTCCAGTGTAAGTCATGTAATCCTTGATGAAATCCATGAGAGAAACCTACAATCAGATGTTCTAATGACAATCATTAAAGATCTCCTAAGTATACGGCTAGACCTGAAAGTAATACTGATGAGCGCTACACTGAATGCTGAGAAGTTTTCAGAATATTTTGGTTTGTGAAATTATCTACATTTTGGTATATATAAAAAAATTCTTTGTATTGTTTCCAATAGTTTGAGCGTCATTGTATATAGTGTCTGTAGTAAACAAATGGTATGTAGATGAATCGCAATGAGAAATTCAAATGTGCATGAAAACATATATTTGCACTGCATTATTGTCTGTAGGTGTGAATTTCTGTATAAACACAGAGTTCTATAATCCTTATACTATACAACAATTACCTTAAAAGCAATATACATTAGAGGGTAGCTCTTTGGAATGTACTGTGCCTCTGAGCTATAATCATCCTAAGATACTTGATGTTGGAAAAATATACAGCTGCCATCTTTGTGGAATTTGTGGAAATACTATGTAAAGCACATTACCCAAATTACTCTGATGGAAACATTTGAATGAGCAAACAGTGCCTTTATATGAAAACAACTCTTCACACTCCCAGATCACTCACATTGGGCCATGAGCAGTGATGGACAGGCCTTTGACAAACTTTGTCAAAGAACAGGTATACTTCAGTCGCATCTGGGGTGAGAAAGCCGGGGTAGAACTGTCGTAAATAAAATAAATAATAGTGTCCCTTATCTTAGTGTTCCGTGAGCGTATTTATCTATGTTCCCGCTCTCAAGCAGTTAAATGTATTCTTTAAAAAGTTTTCAGCTCTAAATTTGATCTTTATAGTAAAAAAAAAAAAAGAAAAAAAAAGCAAAACTAGATTTCTTGGAGGCTTCTGTTTTAGTTTTGTTGGGATTTTTTGGTTGTGAGCCTTGAACCTGATTCCCAACATGTGGCAATCCTGTTTTAGGATTTTCTTGGCGAGGTTTATTCAAAGGAGGTTTGCCACTGACTCTCTCTTAAACTGGGAGAGACCTGCCCAGGGTAAGCTAGTGGGGTTCTATGATGGAACAGTAATATGAACCCTGCTCTCACAGATTACTTCTTGATGGCTTCTTTATTCCTTGATTACTGTAGAAATAAACATTTTGGAAGACCTGTAAAAATGAAGTTAATCTCATACATTTTTTTTCTTTCTCTTTTGTGACAGACAATTGTCCTATGATCCACATTCCTGGTTTCACCTACCCTGTCAAGGAATACCTTTTAGAAGATGTAATAGAAATGCTTAGGTCAGTCTGAAGACAATATTTTTAGTTTTTTTATAATGTAATAAAAGATATATGTTTCTGTGTGTGATGATTTTTTCTTATATGATAAAGAATACCGATTAATTGAAATATATGGTTCTATAGTTACAGTTTTTTGTCTGCTTCTGAAGGTACATTCCAGAAGACACAGATCGCAGGCCACATTGGAAGAAGAGGTTTATGCAAGGACGTATAAGCAGGCCAGAAAAAGAAGAGAAAGAAGAAATTTATCAAGAACGATGGCCAGATTATTTAAGGCAGATTAGAGGACGGTAGGTTTTTAAAAACCTTCATAGAATTAAATTGTTAACTGAATGCTTAATGATAAAATTTTAACAGTTTATATGCAGCAAGCTCTATTGAGAATAATGGAGGTATTCTGCATAAATATTGACATACATTCTATTCAGAAGTACAGAAGTATAGTACAGACATATATTTTTCTAGTCAGATTTACTGAGTTATGCTACAGCAGCATATTCCAACATAATGGAATTAAGAAAAAATATTCCTATGTCACAGTGAAAATGTTTGCCCTAATCCTAAAAGCCAATAGAATCTATTTATTACTGTTGACATGTCTTAGTAAATTTTAGTAGACCCATCCTAATCTGAATGTACATTAACATACTATTTTTTCCAAGCTGTGTACAAATAATAATAATTTTATTTCTTATTCGCCTCTTCTCACAGCTTGGGGTGGGTTACAACATTGCTAAAATACACAATCAAAACACATAGTAATTTAAAAACACTTTGTAAAATACACATATTAAATCATATTTCCATACAATATATATTAAAATAGACTAAGTAAAAAAAATAGGCATAGAATTGAAGTTTAAAATTGTCTGGGTAGGCCTGCTGGGATAGACGGATCTTCATTTGTGTCTCAATTTCTGACAGCTAATCTAACTGTCAGAGCTCTACCAGCAGGTCATTCCACAGTTGTGGGGTGGCCGATGAAAATGCAAATGTAATGGTTGTACATGGATTTAATTTATGCTTTTAATGTGTCCATACTTTCTCAGGTATTCAGAAAGTACAATTGATGCACTTGAGATGATGGATGATGATAAAATTGACCTCAATTTGGTTGCTGCACTGATCAAATATATTGCCCTTGAGGAAGAGGTGAGTTTCAGGCTCGGTATTAGCCTTTAGGTTTAAATTATTTCTTCCTGTAATTATGTTGGCTGAAATCCATCAAAATTATATTTAAATCTCAAGAGAAGACTTCCACCGCAATGTTGTATATGTCTACTAAGAAGCATATTGAGTTTAGGATTCCAGTTTTAAGAAATTTATGAAATCAAAGAGATTTATATATGTTTAAGATTGACTGAATTGTTATAATTTAAGGCTAGAAAATGGTAGACAAATTATACTTGACCTATGGATCAACTGAGATAAAGGTATTTCTCTGTTTCTGGTAAATATTAATGTTATGTTAATGTTTTCTTTATATTTTTTTAGGCTTGGTTCTATTTTTAGTGTTGTATCTCACATTCGTTAATATGGCAAGTTGTTCAGTAATTGCTAAACTGTCAGAATCTGATAACCATTAGACTTTCCTTATAGAGAAAAAAATGCTCAAGAGAGACATTAAAAATAAGGAAAAATAGAAATAAATTCCTATTTTCAGGCCAGTTGCATAAGTACTTTTGATGCATGACTGTCTTTAAGATTACACATCTATATTATTATTATTTTTTAGCAGCAGGTTTTGACCTCTAAATATAAACACAGAAAACAATTTTGAACGTTTTGTTTTTTCTAGATCAATGAAGAAGGCACAAACTCACACTCTAGTCTTTCTCTAATGGGTTGGTAAATCTCAGATTAGGGAGGGAAGCACAACAAAAAACCATAGCAATGTGAGACAAAAGGGGTATCTACACTGTAGATTTAATGTGGGTTAACACTATTTCAACTGCCATGACTCAATGTTGTGGAATCATGAGAGTTGTAGTTTGGTGAGGCAGCAGCATTCTTTGTCAGGGAAAGACCTTGTAAAACACTTAGAATTTCATAGTATTTAACCATGACAGTTAAAGTGGTGCATTAATTTTACCATGTAAATACACCCCAAAATATTGCTCAGTGTGCAAGTGAGGTCTTAGCTTCCTTATGAAATTGTTGCTGAGAACTGTGTGTGACTATTGTGTCAGAATGCACTCAAAGTATGTGATGTATTTGTGGATTTCAATATATGTATGTTTCCTTTACACCCATGTTTATGTAGGAAGGTGCAATACTGGTATTTCTTCCTGGATGGGACAACATTAGCACTCTAAATGACCTTCTTATGTCTCAAATTATGTTTAAATCAGGTAAAATTTCCCCACCAGCATTTTTATGATGATATCTCATGAACATGATTTGATGTAGAGAAAATAATGGTGTCTGCTTTTACCATGTGGATAGTGTGTTAGGTGACCTACATTTTGTATTTGTTTAGCTGTTTAGCTGCTGGTTAGCTGCTTGGAAGATGTATGTTTGGTTGTGACAAAACACTGTTAACATTTGAGAGTGTATTGAATAGAAACATAAAAATGAAAATTTAATGAACCTAAAAATACACTTTTTTTGGATTCTGTTTAAATTCTGTTTAAATTATTAATAATTTGTTCAAAATCTTTTTGACACATAGAGGGGGAAATACAATTATTAGCAAACTAAAATGAATTATCTGTGGTTCTATTAAAGTCTGAAATTAGTATAGATTAAGTTTCTGTCTGATGAGTCTCTGAGTTAGCTGTTCTGTTAAGTACTATTCATACAACTATGCTTTTTAAAAATTATACACCATGCACTCATTTTGTCAGCTTTTTTTTCAAACTAAATTTTACATGGGGTCTTTGTCTTAATTTGCAGACAGATTCATTATCATTCCTTTGCATTCATTGATGCCTACTGTTAACCAGACTCAAGTAAGTACTATAACTAGTAACCATCATGAATTTAGTAAAACCTGCCTACAATAAACAATGTTTATTATGGTCAGAATTCTAATTTTGTTCAGTATTTAAACAACATCAAAATTAAGATTCTAAACATAAATTAGAGCCTCCGGTGGCACAATGAGTTAAACCGCTGAGCTGCTGAACTTGCTGACCAAAAGGTCAGTGGTTCAAATCTGGGGAGCAAAGTGAGCTCCCGCTGTTAGCCCCAGCTTCTGCCAACCTAGCAATTTGAAAACATGCAAGTGTGTGTAGATCAATAGGTACCACTTCAGCGGGAAGGTAATGGTGCTCCATGCAGTCATGCCAGCCACATGACCTTGGAGGTGTCTACGAACAATGCTGGCTCTTTGGCTTAGAAATAGAGATGAGCACCACCCCCAGAGTCGTACATGACTGGACTTAATGTCAAGGGGAAACCTTTACCTGAAACATGAATTATCATTACGTCACAGTCCATTAAAGTGAGTATTCTTGGGAATATCCAAAATTGATTTATTACTTATTGTTAGCAAGATTGAGAGCACATTCAGGTAATACTCTAGTCTGCGCATAAATGCTAACCAGGGAACACATGAACTTGCTTAACCTCTTCTCTATAAAGAAAGAGTGTGTTCTTTCTTTGGACTGTTATAGGTGTCATATACAATTTTAGCTGCTGGGCGTCTGTTCTCTATTGGAATTTACACTTTGGTGATATTCTTAAGCTTAGCTAAAGAGCATTAGTCTACTCCTCTGATTTACAATGCTACAGCTCTTACACGTAATTATGGTGGAGAACTTCACCAACTATAAACTGGAATTTTAGAAAATGGGACCATCATGGTTAAAGTGGTGATAAAGTGCTATAAATGCAGAGTGAATACAACCAAAGCCTATAATAGCCAATCTGGGTGGAATGATGTTGTTTTAGACATCTTTGTCATACAATCCAGTTATTTTCAAAAGATTAAAGCTCTTAGGTTCAACCTGGGTGTGATCGCATGTAGGCTAGATGCTCTAAAATCAAAGGGTTAATGACCTTATACCTCATTAACTTTAGCAGGTCTTCTCTAAGTATGTTTGAATCTATCAGGTGCCATATCCAGTCTTGGTAAAAATGTATTTTGCTGTTGTAATATTAGCTTTGTAAAATGTTCCAAGCATATATTAACACAGGACTGGGTGTTGCACACTGTAATTCACATTATCTCTAACTGCTGGCTGGAGCAGTTGAAAACTCTATTCAAATAATAAATTCAGAATAGCCAGTTTTCCATTTTTTATTACCTGCTCTGCTGTGTATGTCCTATGTGTATTCCAGATAAAACACTTTGATTTTGGTAAAATCTTTTAGCGTGACATATAGATTTCTCATATGTCTTCTTTATCTCTGACTTGGGTTTGTGCACACTTCCCCGTAGGTCTTTAAGAGAACCCCTCCTGGAGTCCGTAAAATTGTAATTGCTACCAACATTGCTGAGACCAGGTAAAATTTTGTTTTCCTCAACGCTTCAAATTATTTTGTTAGTAGAGTGCCTTAACAACAAAGGTGCCAATTAAAATATTTCATTCCTCTCAGCAATATTAAGAGTAATAAAAAATAAATGCATATACAAAGGGAGGATTTTTTCAATATTTAAAAATTAGTCTTCAGTATTTAGCCTAAAGTCAGGTTCCATGTGTGCAAGTGGGTGGAAATTAATTGGAGATAGTAAAAAATGCTTTTTTTCTATGGACAAAAAAAGCTTATGTATTGCTATGCGAGAAAGGCATACAATGCAGGCCATTGCAAGATGACTACTGCTGTCTCGGCAGTATGTTTCTGACTCTTCCCTCCATAGTATCTATATCTTAGTTTATAGGAGGCACCTGAATTTCTCTGCTGGACAAGAATTTAAACACAGACCTTAAAATTCATAGTTTTACAGCATCAGTTAACATGTGTGCATACAAAGCTGTCAGACAAGCAAGCACATTCACCTCCCCCCACCCCCCAAAAAAAAATCCCTGCAAGTTTACAAAGTGAATGGGTTTGCTTGCAAGGCTGGTGGAGAGACTGTGAATGTGTTTGTGTTCACCTCTCTATCCCACCACACCTACTCCAAACCGACTTCCCAGCCTTCATATCTCACTGTATGCCCTATTCACACAGAGAAGGCAACTGCTGCTAGACATAGAGGAAGAGAAGGAAGATGATGTCAGGATAGGGTGCAGCTTGTGTGTGGCAGTAGTTGTTTCTTGCCTCCCCTTTTCAGCAAACTTTGCCTTAATGACTTCTTTGCCCTCCGCAAGGGCATGCCATAGAACAGTTTCTACCATTGTCCTCTTACAAGATCACTAGATGGGGTGGGTGAGAGATGAGATGCCCTACACTATTTTTATAGTATTTTTAATGCTGTATTTTTTATGCTCTGGTGGGTTGAACCCTGCAGAGATCACAGATAGAGATGATCAATTGTACTTATCCATTCTATTAATTCACTATAGAAAATGCTTCCCATAAGCCTGTTTCATATTACTACATGTTTCTGCTATCACACTGTCAATATGCCTCCTGTCAAGCTTAAATTATTTCTTGGTTTTGACTGACTTGAATGCTTGATTTTCAAACCAGTGGTAGTTGCTGTTCTTCATTGTGTGGCAATCTACAGAAAGACAATTTGTGCATGCATGGTAGTTGTATTCTCAACTTTTCAAAGTCAAACATTTCTCACCGAGTGAAATCTAACCATTTCTGTTTGCTTCCCAAATCCACAGTATTACAATAGATGACGTGGTGTATGTTATAGATGGAGGGAAGATAAAAGAAACTAATTTTGATACACAGAACAACATTAGCACAATGGCTGCCGAGTGGGTGAGCAAAGCAAATGCCAAGCAAAGGAAAGGTAGAGCAGGAAGGTAAGGGTGATGACTATAATTATAAAATTGATAGACATAACTATTCTTGTTTAAAATGTTAGCTCTTCATCTTCCTCTTTTCACTGCAAGAGTCTTGATTCTGAAGCTTTCCAGTTGTGACTATTTGCTTGTTTGGTAGCACTAGATTGCACCTAAATTCATTCATATATATATTATATTATATTATATTATATTATATTATATTATATTATATTATATTATATTATATTATATTTAGCAGCATCGGTGTAATTTAAGAACAAAACCTCACAACCTCTGAGGATGCCTGCCATAGATGTCGGTGAAATGTCAGGAGAGAATGCTCCCAGAACATGTCCATACAGTCTGGAAAACTCACACCAACCCAATGATTCTGGCCATGAAAGCCTTCAACAACACATAAGAACAAATAGTTTGTGATCGCAGATAATACCAACTTTATCAGATACTTCTTTTTGTGTTTTCATCCACCTGACAATGTAAGCTCTAAACTATAGAAGTCCATTTTAAAATTAGGTACACCTGTTAACCCTCACAGTGCCATAGAATATATGAAGAAATAGATAAATACACAGAAATAATTCAGTAAGCAGATCTCTCTCTTGCATGCTTAAATGAAGTTATATAGGAAAAATAGCTGTATTCTCCTGAATAAAAAAAATCACATGATAATGGTAAGTATTGTATTGTGGATGCATCACCTCTATAGAGATTTCATTTCATGATCTGCCTGTATCCATTGGCAGTTGATTAGAGGTTATGATACAGGTACTTCATATTAGTGTTCTTCCATTCCAATTTCATTAGTCTGAGTATTATTCATGTGCTAGCATAATATCAATGTTATATTATGTTTCACTCCAAGCTACTAATATCCAAATAATGCTGAGTTTCTTAATATCTGTCTATATAGTTTATACTCTCTTCATCTTCGTTAAATGAACCTAACTTGAGCTTTGGATATTCAAGCATGTTCAAGGATATTCAAGGATGACAATAATATGTCTTATGCTGAACCTAAGGCAACCCTTGGTTGCTTTAACAACCAGGTAGATGCAAATAGCTGTGACCGAGTACAGAGTTGGTTAAATCCTCCTATGTAAGATCAACGGAGCACATGCTGTAGTGCAGATGGGACAATATTCCCCTTTAAAAAGGCACTTGTGTATCAGTCAAGTAGTGTTCTCTTGTATATAGTTGTGTAGTGCATTGAAAGATGTTACCATGGCATGTAGAAATTTTACTCCTGGCCTGATAGTAGCTAATATTCCTGTTTGTTCTTTGCTATAAAATGTAAAATGATAATAATAAAAATAAAACTTTATTTATATCCCACCACTATCTCCCAGATTGCTCGGAGTGGCTTATAAGGCACTCAAAGGTGCAACACATAAAATACAAAAAATGCAGTTGCTAATTTGGTAGAACCATCCACCTTGTTGTGTTGGGTTTTTTCCACCAATTATTGTATATCTTTAAAAATTCTCCCATTAGATCATGATGAAAGCTTCTGTTCTGTTCTGCGGCTTTCCTTAACTTTGTTTAAACATTTATGCAACATCTCCATAGAAAGACAATGAACCTGTGTTACTGTACTTCTGATAAAGAAGAAAATATGTAATAGAAAGTATTTATTTTCTTACAGAGTCCAGCCAGGTCAGTGCTATCACTTGTACAATGGTCTTCGTGCAAGTCTGCTAGAAGATTACCAGTTGCCAGAAATCTTAAGGACACCTTTGGAAGAACTTTGTTTGCAAATAAAGGTAGGTTTATATTATCAGCTGTAAGTTTTAGGAGTAGCTAAACTCTCTTGGTAAATAATATTGTGTAGAGTTTAAAGCAACAGAATGTACCAATGTGATTTTGATCCTGATTGCATACATATATAGGGTTTCTTTTATCTGTATTAGCTGTACTTCAGCCTTTTGGGGGATCTGATGTTCTTGTACTAGAGAGCTTTTGGTTGTTAAGTTTCTCATGAGACTTCCCTGCTGTGTAATATTATCACATTTGCTGCTTTGTAGCCATTATTTGTGCTTTTGCAGCTCTGTTTTATTGTTTTCATATAGTAAGTGCTTTGAGGAAGGGAAACTTAAAAGCTTTAAGAACATTCACACTCTGTATGAGATCGGTTGCTAAAGATGTATAGTTCAGTGCTTTATCTTGAGAGTTTAGCAAACTCTCAAGATAATTTACCAATACAATGGAAAAGCTTAAATAATTATCTAAAGTTGAATAATACAGTATAAATCCATTTGTTAGTCTCAACTAAAGTAGCATCATTGCATCGATGGGATGTAACCAGTTCCAGTAGGTTGATTTCAGTTAGAATAATGGTTTTACATTTATATTTGCATTTTAAGTACAATATTCTCCATGAGAGTCTACATCAGTGACTTAAAGCTTGGGATTCAAAGAGCTAGTCTTGTCTTTGTACTATGCATGTGGCATGAACAGTAATCTCCATATCATTATATGAGCCACTCCCCCTCTGTTTTCAATGTTGCAACAGACAGTACTTAGGTAAATATTCCAAGGCTCTGTTGGACACATAAATTTAGTTTCAGTATAATATACATCAGAGTGGAGGGGCAAGGGAAGAAAGTGGGGATCACAGAACCATAACTTCTGCATCTGAGTACTGAGATAGGGTCCTTTTCCAGTTCTTTGTACTTTTGCTTAGAACACAACTCAACCTGTCTGAGTTTAATATTTCTCCCCCTAGTAACTCTTCTGCCATTACACACCCAATTTCAGCAGTACCTATCCCTTTACTGGGTGACTATTTGCCCCAACTTTTCCATTTCCTTCCTTCTTGGGGAAAAGAACCTTTTATATGCCGCATTATCTGGAAAAGGATTGTATTGTTACGTTTTCCTTTCTTTTCTGGGTGAACAGAGAACCAAACCTATCCTTTTGCATGCCTTGTTTAATACTGGACAGAAAGAATTTTCCTAGTAAGTACCAGTCTCCAATTCTATGGTGACTGTCACTTCTTGAAATGTGGTTGAATTGTAAACATATGTGCTTTTGGATTTCTTTTAGATTTTAAAGCTGGGAGGTATTGCTCACTTTCTGAGCAAGGTAATGGACCCACCATCAAGTGACACGGTGTTGCTGGCCATAAAGCATCTCATGCAACTGGTAAATGTTTTACCTACTCTCCATACAAACCTGTCCAGACTTAGGAATGTTCAGCCAAAATACTTAAAAACCAAATATGATTCTTTCTCCATGATATCCTGGTTTTTTAGAGCAAGAGATAGATAGATAGACAGACAGACATATACAAAGATACCATTTCAAGGAGCAGTTGTGAGTCCCCGAAGGCTAAATGGGTTAAACCCTTGGGCCGGCAGGACTGAAGACCGACGGGTCAGAGGCTTGAATCTGGGGAGAGCGTGGATGAGCTCCCTCTGTCAGCTCTGTCATGAGGAGACATGGGAGAAGCCTCCCACAAGGATAATAAAACACCCAAACATCTGGGCATCCTCTAGGCAACATCCTTGCAGATGGCCAATTCTCTCACTCAGAAGTGACTTGCAGTTTTTCAAGTTCCTCCTCACCTAAAAAAGAGCAGGTTTTTTAAATACATTTTAAACTCAGCTTTCTCCACCAAACACTTCTTACATGGTTTTCACCCAACCTACTTCCTTCTAACAGCATGTGACAGGTGAAGCTCTGGAGATAGTGAATGGCCTAGTGGGTATTGGGGTCTGTATATCTCAAGCACCATTCCAGCATTATGGTCAATGCACCACAATGGCTCTTGAATGAGTCTCTGGTCGATGTCCAGTAAGCACTAGCAGAGCATGTTACCAACAAGCTTCTAGCACATGCCTGCAATATGAAGACAAACACTTACTGTCTTCATATTGCAGGCATGTGCTAGAAGCTTGTTTTTTTTTTAAATGAATACATTAAGTATGTAGAATTATTTTTTATTTTTTTTATTTCTGAGAAATAATGTTATTATTTGAAAAATCTGTTCCTTATTTGATCAGCAAGCATTCAGACCCTTCATGTTGTGTGAAAGCTTCTCACATTTAGAAGGCATTAGATATGTTAGCATTCACAAAAGCTTTGGAAGGAAAGGTGGAATGTATTTAAAAATCAAGATAACATGGTGACAAAATACATACAATAACATAAGGAAAGGTATGTTCAGCTGTAAGGCAACATGGGAATTACACAGAACATTAAAGACTAAAGATCTAGTTCAGGCCTGCACAACCTGAGGTCCTCCAGGTGTTTGGGCCACCAAGTCCCAGAAGCTATAGCTGAAGTCCAAAACACCCGGAGGGCTGCATACTGTGCAGGTCTAAGTTGACTTAAAATATTTCAAGAAAAACTTCAAAGTCCATCTTGGCACCATACTTATTTTTTTTCTTTGCTATCCCTCTTTCCATTTCCACCCTCTTTCTCCAGAATGCATTGGATCGGCAAGAAGAATTGACTCCCCTTGGAGTCCATTTGGCCCGGTTACCAGTAGAGCCTCACATAGGAAAGATGATTCTCTTTGGAGCTTTATTCTGTTGCTTAGATCCGGTTCTCACTATTGCAGCCAGCCTCAGCTTCAAGGATCCTTTTGTTATCCCCTTGGTAAAGTATTTAATCAAAGACATAAAAACGAAGTATAAAATATCGTAACTCTTAGTGGCTAATAGAATGTTAGATTTGTAATTTCAGCAAAAAAAAGTCCTTTTAATTGCATCTATTAGATATTATTTTGTTATATTAATCCTTTATTACATTTTAAGACAAGATATGTAAATTACCTGAAATCTTTATTGTTTAAGGGTAAAGAAAAAGTAGCAGATGCGAGAAGAAAAGAACTATCAAAGAATTCAAAAAGTGACCACCTCACAGTTGTGAATGCTTTTAAGGTAGATATACTTTAATTTATTATCTGATTGATTTACAATGTTGCCTTCACAGAAATAACATTATGGAAGACTTGGGTAGAATGCTGGCATTATGGATGACTAGTACTGTTTAGACAGAATAACTTTTTCCCCTTTTCTTGTTGATAGTTTCTTCTGGGTGTTTTGTTTGTTTGTTGAGAGTGCAATTCTATTTTTAATGAATTGTTAAATGTTAAGGGGCTCTTAAGAATGTATGACTTTGTATTTTGTAAAAAAGTAAATATTTTAAAAATGAATTCTGTTTGTAACTGCTGAGGGGACTAAAAGTTGGATATTTTTAATATGCCAGGCAGAACTGTGTAATAGAATAATCTTGCATATGATCCACTTTGTTCCTAGAATGATAAAGTAGTTTTATTTATTTATTTATTTCTCGCACTTCTACCCCGTCCTTCTCAACCCCCAATCTGTCAGCAATGTGAATATCAGTTTTTCCTGAAAAGTTATTTTTTCACGGGGAAAACATTCTCTCTTTTCCTTTTCAAAATACCTCAAAATTTTACATCTCTGTGGAGTTACTCTTTTCCACATAATGGAAGAAAAATGTAATAAAGGACTTTCTACTCCTATTGTGCAGCTGAATTGATTATGCAGCTGAAATTATTTTAATCTGGATTATAGAAATACGTAACTTAAATATAAGGAGTTCAATTTACTTCATTTTTTAAATGTAATTCACTCTATTGGCATCTTTTTCTACTACACTTCTATAATACTTCAAAATTATCTGTAGCATCTATTATGCAATTACATTTATAAACTAGCACATACTTATCCAATGCTAGGTATTATTATTATTATTATTATTATTATTATTATTATTATTATTATTTACAAATGATAATTGATACTAAATATATCTGTTTTCAGGGCTGGGAAGAAACTCGGCGACGTGGCTTCCGATGTGAAAAGGACTTCTGCTGGGAGTATTTTCTTTCTCCAAATACTTTGCAGGTAATATTTATTTTCTCTGGTCAGAGAAAAATGTGCTTTTAGAATTTCTTTTGGTCAGGCATGTCGCACCTTACTGGCAATTTTTGTTGTTGTTTCAGATGCTGGCTAACATGAAAGGGCAGTTTGCTGAGCACCTGCTTGCAGCTGGGTTTGTGAATAGTAGAAGCCCCAAAGATCCTAAATCGAACATTAACTCAGGTAATTCTGAGAAAGAGACAATGCCATAGTTCTGCTCTCAGTTTTTCCTGCTGTTAATTCAACTGTACTTCTATCGTCTTCTTTTCCAGACAACGAGAAGTTACTCAAAGCTGTTATCTGTGCTGGCTTGTATCCAAAGGTTGCAAAAATTCGAGCAAATTTCAGCAAAAAGAGAAAAATGTAAGACTTTTGATAGTTCATTCTCTGATTCTTTTCCAAATGATATATGGAGCTTTGGATTTGCAGCGTAACATATGAGTCAGAAAATATTTAAAAAATGCAGCGAGTAGTGTTCATCATATTGTGTACTAACCATTGTCAGAAACATTCTTCTGAGTCAACCTACATGCTGAAATGTAGTGGGTGCAGAGACCATTTGAGAAAATTTAGAAAAGAACATGAAGTTCAAAATTTTTCAGCAAAGCAGTGAATCATTTGTAAGGCATAGAAATAATCATGCTTTATCCTCCTTAAATGAATGACAGTTCAAACACTCAAGTGTCTTTCTATATTATGTTCCAATGGCTGCCTGCCTGCTCTGGAATGAATTATACTCTTTTACATCAGATTTGATGATGCTTAGCTTCTGTTTTTAAAAATACCAAAGTTCCAAGAAGTGATATACTTGTTATTCTCTTTAAAACGGCATTCTGGTAAAATGTATTAAAAGTGTCTCATGGTTTTTTTTATTAATTTTATTAATTGTGTGGTAGAGCAGCTTATCCCATTTAATGTAGAATTAAATTCACCAGCAATCATTGTGCATTAACAAACTCATCATTTATTTAGATTTTATAAGAAGTCTTTAAAATGTGCAGCCTAAAAAATACCCATACTTCGGATGATCACTTTTTCTGTTCAGTTTGTGCACTGAATGTCACTAAATCCATTATTTAATTAGTATGTCTATTTCCTGTTTCATCTTTTGAAAGGATCTTTCCTCACATTTTTACTTGTAGTTTCAATATCTTACTCTTTATTGTAATTGCTGAATTTCCAAACTGACATCTTTCAAGAGTATGTTACCTTATTACATTTTCTTTTTCTCTCTCTAACCTTAACACTTGGGGAGCATGAAAAATTCCAGCTTAAAAGGAGGATTGTTTTCATATCGGATCTTAAAAGCTAAAGAAGTATATTATTTCTCCTTCATGTTAAATCAGGTTTAATACAAAGAATAAGAGTAGCTATCACACCGCTTCAGGGTATTTTCAGCATCATCATCATTTCAAATGCGAGCCCCCAGTGGCGCAATGGGTTAAACCTCTGTGCTGGCAGGACTGAAGACCAACAGGTCGCAGGTTCGAATCCAGGGAGAGCGTGAATGAGCTCCCTCTATCAGCTTCAGCTCCTCATGCAGGGACATGAAAGAAGCCTCCCACAAGGATGGTAACACATCAAAACATCTGGGCATCCTCTGGGCAACATCCTTGCAGACACCAATTCTCTCACACCAGAAGTGACTTGCAGTTTCTCAAGTCGCTCCTGACATGACAAAAAGAAAAAATAATTTCAAATATCTCTAGTAAAAAGTACTTTGTATAAGTTCTATTCATGCCGTGTCCCTGGTGGCACAATGGGTTAAACCCTTGTGCTGGCAGGACTGCTAACTAAAAGGAGCCCCCAGTGGACAGTGGGTTAAATCCTTGAGCTGGCAGGACTGCTGACTGAAAGTTTGGCAGTTCGAATCTGGGGAATGGGGTGAGCTCCTGTCTGTCAGCTCCAGTTTCTCATGCGGGGACAGAGAAACCACCCACAGAATGGTAAAACATCCAGGTGTCCCCTGGGCAATGTCCTTGCAGACGGCGAATTCTCTCACACCATTACTGACTTGCAATTTCTCAAGTCGTTCCTGACATGATAATAAAAATGCAGTGCCGAGATTTGAAATTGCTTTAAAATCTCCTAAATTTGGAGAAAAACCCATTGATACTGAATGGGTTGAAAAGCATGAAAAATAGGGGGGGGGGGGGGGGGGGGGGAGGAGTAATTTGTTGCCAATGTTCTTCCCTCATTTGAAGTACCTAAGGCAGATAGTTGTTTCTTATTTTTGTTATGTTCAAGCCCCCACCCCCCAATCTATTCAAGCAATTTAAAAAAACAAAAGAGAAAAGAGGATCTGGTTTAAAAATGTCATATTCATGTATGTATTTGTGTGAATAAACTGCCTTTATTATGAAAAATACAACTAATGTAATGTTTTTGAAATTCTCTAGTAATTCCTTCCATTACCAAAATTAGCCATACAAAATCATTGCTCTGTTTGAATTGAGCAAGTTGCAGTAGTATTCTTTTGCCAGCTGGTGGTACTGCAAGCAAAATATTATGTGCTTCCGTTTGCCCACTTCAAAGATACTTATATATTATTTGATGGATGGGTATCAAATATACACGAATTATATTTTATGCTGATAGTGCTTAATAAGAATAATGGTAGGAATTGGGTTTTTGTGATGCTGTGTATTTTTCACTGTTTGAAAGTGCATTATATTTCTGAATAAATAATATCAATAATGGAGAATATATTTATTTATTTATTTATTTACCATATTTATATTATGCCTTTCTCAACCTGAGGGCGACTCAGGGTGATTTACAAATGGCACAATTCAATGCCCCCAACAACATCAAAACAATTAAAACATTTAGCATAAATAATATCAGATGAAACAGTAAAAACCAATAAAAAATAAATCCTCAGTGTCTACTTAATAAAATCATTATCCAACTACATTGTCAAGTTGTTCCGTATTTATATAGATAGTCCAGTACAGTAACCTTCTTCCCTTTCCATTGGTGGGATTACTCTCATGTATGCATATTATCTTTGTTATTTAAAGCAGAAAGAAAAATAGAATATGTGTGTACAAGGAGGTCAAAAAGTATTTTCTAACAGATCTTTTTAAAAAAAAAAACATTTTGTCAGTATTGCTTTTTATTGGGAACGTTGAAAGAAGCTGTCTTTTCCATTTGTGCCAGTTTTATGTCATTCCAGGAGGTTTCCCCCAATAGTAATAGCATTGGAGGAAATGTAGGAGAATTATCATCCATTGAACCCAACTGAATAGAAGATACGTTTGCATATTTTAACTGCTCTGCATTCATTTAACTTGTACCTTAATTCTGACTTCTATATATTTTTTCAGGGTTAAAGTTTCCACTAAGACAGATGGGTCAGTTAACATCCATCCCAAATCTGTGAACGTCGAGGAGACAGAGTTTCATTACAACTGGCTTGTTTACCATTTGAAAATGCGGACCAGTAGTGTAAGGCAACTTTTCTTTATTTCCCTTATGAATAAAAGTTTGTGTTAAATTATTTTAAGTAGACCCTCCCATTACAATCTGTCTATGCAACTCTACTTTGTTTAACATCTTCCATTTGGTCTTTGGACATTCTTGCTACCTGCCATCATCACTGAGCACAGTTTTTCTGTGGAGCATCAGAACAAACAGTAGTAAATAATATGTAAGGCTTGCTTAATCCTTTGTTACTGTACTTATGGTGCATCTGCACTATATAATGCAGTTTGACCCCACATTAATTGCTATGGGCCAATGTTGTGGAATCCTGAAATTGGTAGTTTGGTGAGACCCTAGCATTCTGGCAGAGAAGGATAAAGAACTTGTAAGGGGAGGAGGTCTAAGATACTACTCCACTGGAATGCTGACGAGCCCATTTGAACTATATGATGGCTATAATACATTTTTAACACACATCTGTGTTAGCCATCTTACATGCAGTTCATTTCTGACTGTTTTTAATGATATATGTTCAATGTGTACTCTTGTCCTAGTTTATTGTCTAATTGATTTACTCCTACCTAGTCCTCATTTCGATTTTTAGTTGTTGTTGTTATTATTATTTTACTGTTATTGTGCATTATTTTGTATTATTCCTAGTGTTGTTTGTACTTTTTAAGGCATTGAATATTTGCCTATCTCTGTGTGTAAACCACCCGGAGTCCCTTTGGAAAAGAGAGCGGTCTAGAAATATATTATTATTATTATTATTATTATTATTATTATTATTATTATTACAACTCCCAGGATTCCCTAAAATTACATCATGGCAGTTAAAATGGATTCAAACCACATCTACTCCACAGTGTTGATGTACAGTCATTTCTACCCCCCCCCCCCTTTCTCCCACCCCCTTTTTAGGGCGAAATTCTTTAGTTTCTCCTGCTTTTATTTCTTTCATCTGTAAAATGGAAGAGTGTCAAATAGGAGAGATTTACTTCTAAGAGTACAAGGAAGAGTGTCCTGCTATTCTTAAGGTACTCTGTGCTGCATGTTTTTCATTTTACAGATATACTTGTATGATTGCACAGAAGTCTCGCCATATTGTCTTTTGTTCTTTGGGGGAGATATTTCTATACAGAAAGACAAAGATCAAGATACAATTGCTGTGGATGAATGGATTGTCTTTCAGTCTCCAGCAAGAATAGCTCATCTTGTCAAGGTGAATGTGCTGATTTTCTTTTCAGCTTGGTATTGAAAGCTTGAGCTCTTGCAATAGCTTATAGTTGCTTCGGCTATGTTACATTGCGTTATGGGTCCTTTTAAATAGTAAAATTATTTTCTTAATGCATGAATATGAAAGTTGTTTTTAGGCATAACTTTTTTTCAGATATTTCATGTCGAGATAGAAATGTCTATCCAAGGGTTAATCTGAAGCTCATGCTAATTCCTTCCTAATGTAGTGGGTGTGAAAGTAATGAGAAGTGTTATATTAAATTAATTTCTGCAAGATATTGAAACAAGGAGTGGTTCTGTCATACCATCTCTCTGTTGAGGAATTGAAGTTCTTTGCCTTATATTTATCAATCTGTATCCAGCTAGAGTTCTTTGGGTTTTACCTTTTTGGTCACTTAAACAGTATTGGGTTGTTGTAGGTTTTTTTGGGCAAGCAGACCAACAATAACATGCCTCTTAAGAATCTCATACACTTCAAATGTTTAGGAAGTGTGTGTATGTGTAGTTGTATATGTGTGTGTGTGTGTGTGTGTACACATACACACAAACATACAGGGCATCTTCTGCATGTTATGTTTCATAAGTATCATTTCTCATGCTTATGATCCTTGTAATACAATGCATCAATAAAGAATGGCACCTTAATATTGAGTCATCAAAGTCATATTACATCTCTTGCGGATTTTGCACACAGCATTTTGACCTTTTTAGTACATTGCAGTGCTTGCGAAGGAATCATCTAGTATTTTATACAGTACAGATCAGGTTTTTTTTCAGCTTAGTAAAATTGCGGTACACTTACAGGCACTGCATTCATGTAGAATAACTATAATTATCTGCCCAGGGATAAATTATTCTCTCTGTTACGTCCTAAAGAGCTTCTTGGAGGACTTAATATTCACAAAATGTAACAGCTTGTTATCTGTCTGTCTGCTCATATATTCCACCTTTTTCTGAAAAGTGATTCAAGGCAGAACAGTGAGGAAGATGGTTTCAGATAAACATGGCACAGTTTAGGGTTTGGTTTTTCCTGGAATGTGAAAACTGAACCGCTTATAACTTGGAGTAAGTAACGAGTAGAGGAAGATTTAAAACATCTGGTTAACTTGTGAAAGACTACTTATCTAAAATCATTCCTCCTTTTTGTTTAAATTATACAATTGCTCTTCAAACTTCATGAGTCCCCTTTAATTGAGGCATGGCATTTTATTATGCTCTTAGTGTGTTGTGCTATATTTATAATGAAACTGTATCAAGGGTTCTGGTTCAAATTTACTTTTGGTGCTGGTTAGCAGTTGTCTTGGGCCAGGCTCCAGTGTTGTATTTCCAGTTGTTTGTGCTGCTTCTTTCAGCCCTGGTGGCACTGCTGCCTACGTTGTTTTGTCATTACTACAGAAAAGCAGCATCTATCAAAAATTGCAGCTTTTTGTTTCTGTCTCAACCGACATCTTTTTATCTGCAGGACTTGAAAAAAGAATTGGATGACCTTCTACAAGAGAAGATAGAAAACCCCCAGCCTGTGGACTGGAACAGTAATGAATCCAGGGACACTGCAGTGCTGACAGCCATTATAGACTTAATCACAACACAGGAGAATGAAAGTGCCAGAAACTTTGCCCCTCGCTTCCAGCATGAACAATACAGTTAATACTGTTCCTTCATGGCTGCAGAGGTGACAGCTCCACCAGATTTTTGATGTTGTTTTGGCTTCCTTTGGGCATCTTGGAATTCCATTTTTAGTGTCAGTAGTTTCTGATGGCTTTGTATATCGCATGCAGTGTATAAAAGTAATTGTTTACATAATTGCTATTGCTGCACAGGCCATTGTATTTTGGTGTACGTGTTGTACCTGGATGCTGCTGCTTGTGGACTGTAATCTTTCTGAGGTAAATGCTGGATGAAATGGAAAATGAGCTGAAGACGTTTTGTATTCCACTCATTACTGTGTTTTGTCGTCGTCCATGGAATTACTGATTTGCATTATTAATGACCCCCTCGACACACACAGACATTTTTACTTAACACATGTTTAGCTTTCTATTTACTGTATTTTCCCTTCAAAATCCAAGTGAACTGTTACTAGAACAAAAGCATTGCTGGCCCCCAAAGGGATGTGAGTTCTTGTGGGCAGGTTTCCTTTTGGGTATTTGCACCAATGTGTGTACTTGTCTAGTCCCAGTATGATCCGTGTACTGTCTCAGTGAGAAATAACTGGTGATTGCTCCAGTAGTTAGGACTGTCCCTATATGCAGAGCTCTAGCGAGGCACTAAAAATGCCATTGATTGCCTGTTTGGGATGCAGAGCAAGATTTACTGTCCATATCCCCTGGTATAGATTTGTATTGTGCTTGGGAAAACGTAAACCCTTGAAATTTTATAAAAATCAAATATACACTCTGTTCTGTTTCAACATCATGAATATAACCTTTTAAATTAAAATCTTCTTCTATAAACAAATAACAAAATGGACCTCTCCCATAATTTTAATTAAATTCCTATGTGCCAAATGCCCATATCCTAATTATTTTATATGTATGGTGTACATATAAAAAAGAGAATATAAGAATACTGAAAGTAAGTGTATTGATTTCAGCCATATTGTGTACAAAGGATTCCTACAATTTTGGAAGGTGCGTCTCAATTAGAAATTTGGTAAGTGCAACTCTCTGGGTCACTCTAATGGAGTATATGTGCCTCTTGCTAGTCTTTTTATTTGTGTTTAGTTGTTTAAATTGTAGGCATTTGGAACTTATAGATTCAACTGGCCAGCTTGGTCTGTTTTAAATGCTTAATAAAATAGTCACAAATTTAAAAGCTACAAGACACACCACTGCTAAGCTGTTCAATGAGAAACATCAAAAGTCATAGTGAGAATATGTCAAATATTTTCCTAGTGACTGATCACTGAAATATGTAGAATATTTGAAATATGTATGTATATACTATATTCTAGATTGGCAGAAATCCAGTGCAGATATCGTATTGGACACTATTCTATGCTGAAGTGTCCAGAAGTAACTTAAGCAACCTATTACAACTATCATATGGACTGATACATATAAATGTCAAGAAAATATTACACCAAAATAAAATTTGTACAAGGCCTTCTGATTAAACAGTAATGCCCGAGATCCTGTATTATGGAGACAAAATAATGTTATGCTATGCCTTGGTTGTGTTACAGCACTTCATTAACAGAATTTCAACAATGTGCCTGACCACGCACAATGGCACTACCTGCCTACATGGATTTTTACACCCTCAGACTAAATATGATCGCTACGGAACAATGCAATTTTTTTGGCCCAGAGGCATAGTAGGACACCTGCATACCTTACTGACTGGAGGCAATGAATCCGGAAACAAATCTCAAAGGCCCAGAAATTAACAATAGTGTTGTTTCTTCTGCTAAATTTCCACTTTGTCAGAGAGCTATCAGCACACTTGGCATTATCTACAAGACAGTAATGCAGTACAGATGTCATCTGTGTGCATCATTTATGTGATCTTCATCCCTGCTCAAAAAGGGTGGTGAATGAAATAATTAAAACACAGATGTACATTTGTTCCTCCATCTAATCTCACTCTGTGAATGTATATATTTGTCTATACGATGTCAAATTTTCCCTGTACATAAATATTTGGTTGATGAAGCCATAAAAGCAGATGGAAAGAGAAACTAAACAAGAAAGCTCTTCAGTAATGAATATGACATTTAAAAATGTAGGCTGTACCCCCACCCTGCAATTTCAACAATTTGATATCTGCTAATATAGCACAGTATTTTAATGGAAGAATTAATCACAGCTTCATAAGGTAAATATATCTAAGATTCCAAAAAGCTCCATTTATCTTGTATCGGTTCCTTATGGTATTTGAATGTCATCTCAGAACATGAATGTAGAATTTATTTATTTACCCACCCTATTTATACCCTGCCTTTCTCAACCCCGAAGGGGACTCAAGGCAGCTTTACATATACACAACTATTCAATGCAGTTTCTCAGTTTGCTCCTGACACGACAAAAAAAAATGCCTTAAAACAACATATAATTAAAATAAACAATTGAATTAAGAATTAAAATTAATGCACATTAAAACATTTAAAAATATTACATTCACTATTGAAAACTATGCCATCCACAATCATAATCTGGGACCTTTCTAGTAGTCATTTCACATAATCCATATCTATTATTGCACTGCAATTATTCTCTGAAGGCTTGATCCCTAAGACATGTTTTCACTTTCCTTCTGAAGACCAGGAGGGAAAGGGCCGATCTAATGTCACTGGGGGAGGGGGGAGTGCCACAGCTGAGGGGCCACCACTGAGAAGGCCCTGTCTGCCGTCCCCACCAGTCATACCTGTGAAGGGGGTGGGACTGAGAGGAGGGCCTTCCCACTCTATCTTAATCTCTGAGATGGTTTATAGGGGTTCATACGCAAAATGAGACATGCCACCTTTAGTACAAGAAGCTGACTGTTGCAAGCATTGCCAAAATGACACTGCCCATGGCCTGGCCTGGCTGAAGAAGTCATATCCTCATGGTTGTTACGTCACTTCCCATCCTCCAGTGATCATACTGATACCATTTCCGGACAGCAAAAAACTTGCATTTTTATCACGTCTCTTGGAATAGATATACAGGTTATAATGTCTCCAGTATTAAAGAACATATTTGCATGATCTGTTGCATGAGCATGGAAGCAGATTTATTTACGTGCAGAGTGATGCAATGTTTCACTGGCTGCCATCCAAAGCACTGCTCAAAAACAAATAGCAACACAAGCCATGTGGAACAGTTTTAATTGTAGAGCTTTTTTTAAAAAAAAAACAACATACATACTTCCTGTACATTTGGATACTTCAGTTGCCTTATGCAGGGATTTCAGCACCTGCATTGTGACTACTATGTGCAAGAGGAATGTATACATGGAACTACACAAATATTCACCGTCTGTTACATTATATAAACATTACAGTACACAGATTTTCATCCACTTGGAAAAAGTTTTATCACAGTTTGCTATTTTTGCAATTTCTATTGAGTGACAAGCAGTGCAAAGAAAGGACAAAGTTCCTTATAATACATGGTGTAGAAAATGTCATGCCTATTTACATAAAAAGGAAATGCAATGCAAATTAATTGCTATTTATAAATTAATTACAAATGCAATTACAAATTAATTCCTATTTACATCTTCGCCTGACAACATAAATTGCTGTCAGACTCCGAAGTAGATATTTATAATGAGTCCTTCAGTAGGCAATGCAATCATGACAGGTCTCCCCCTCCTGAGGAAAGATAAGAAAGCGCACTTTGGCCACAGACCAAGAGCCTCAGTTGATAGGCAGCTAGTTATCATAAATGCCCAATCCATGGAGCAAGGGCTAACAGATCTGCTTTGTAACAAATTGAGGAAAATCATTTTCTCTCTGCTGACAACGGGACAATATTGGAAAAGGCTCATCTGACATTATTAAAAACACATCCCTGAACTGTTAAGTTCTTCAAGATCTTCGAACAATGTTAAGTGTACAAGTATCAATGTGATAACAGCATGCTTATGAATTCTCAAATCCAGACTTGGCAAATGCTGTTAATCTCACAATGCTTCAAAACAGCCTTCGTGTGTTAGCTTTTTGTTTCCAGGGGAACCAAGCAAAAAGTTCCAAAGCAGTGATGAGAACAGTATCTTCCTTTTTTTGGTCTTGGCATATCGTACATACTGATCCTTATTGAATTTAATGACTTAAAGTGTTGAAAATATACTTTTCAAGACAGCCAGCATGGTGCATTTGAGCATTGGACTATGACTCTGGAGACTAGGGTTCAAATTACCCTTCTGCCATGGAAACCAACTATGAGGTCATACTCTCATAGACTCAGAAGAAGAAAAGGGAAGCTCCACCCCCACGAACAAATCTTGCCAAGGCAACCTTAGGGTCACTATAAATCAGAAAAAAACTTGGGACAACATGTAATTACCATAATATGTAGTTTAGATAGATGATGCACTTCTATCCCCTTCTAACAGCTAGTCCAAAGACTGATAGTCCTTGTTATGACCCACCACTGCATCAAAAAGGTGTCAATTCCTTATTTAATTTAGCATAATGAAACTCTGAGAAACAAGGCACTTTCTCCTATTCTTTTAAACATATGAAGCATTAACATTGTATACTCATGATATCATAAGGTATGTATGAGGTATATTGTGTAAATGAATGAGGATTGAACTGTGTTTACTCCCCTTGCATGGCAGAGTTCAGGACCGTAATCTTAACATTTATCACTTTCCTTCTCTGCATGCTTTAAAAAAAATCATATTTACTAAGAATGTCTATGATCATGGAAAGGTCATGTGGTGATTTTTGGAACTTTTACTGGGCCTAATAAAGTTATCACCACAATATATGTGTTGGAGTTTATTTTATGCTCAACACAGCTACTAGCTTTTTCCAGTTTTACTAGCTTCAGTACTGAACTGAAAAATCCCCACATATATGACAACTATAACTTAAGTCCTAAGTTTTTCTATGTGCTTTAAAAATGTCTCTGGTGATCTGCTGTCACTGCCAAACCAATGACTGAGGGGTCTAAATGTGGAGGTGATTTGGCCCCAAAAAGGAAGGTAAGGGGAAAGCAGTTTTCAGACTCTCAGTTACTGTTTAGATCATTTCTTCTCTTATGTTTTCTGTGATTTTTTAGTGTGATGGAAGGTGACGTGAAAGCAAATAAACACAAAAGAAATTGGACACACACTTTTCTGACTGCAGAGTTTGTGACCATGACTTGACAACCAAATCAGTTGGTACAGTTAACACCAAAAAGCATAGGCAAATGAAGAAAACAACTGATCAAATGATCAAGCAACCAATCTTGTTGAATGTGAGTTTGTAGAACGTACGCTCACTGCAGCTGAGAAACATGAAATGAACCTGAAATCAAGTTCGCTGCATTTGCAGCAGAACATAATATTACCACCAATTATTAGTTCACAGCATTTGCAATGATTCTTCAGTAACAAACAAAAGAGAAGAAACAAAAGCTAAGACAATTTTTAGAAAGCTGGGGTGACCAGTAGAAATCTAATGAATTCACTCAAAGATATTCAACTATGTCTAAGTATCAGCGTGATGTAGTGGTTTGAGTGCTGGGAAATCAGGATTCCAATCCCCATGTAGCCATCTTATGGAAGCCATACTTTCTCAGACTTAAAGCAAGGCAATGACAAATGTAATAAAAAAAATTGGCCAAGGAAGTCCTGCGATAGTTGACCTTAGGGTCTCTCTAAAACATAAATAACTTAAAGGCAAGAGGCGGAAGAGACCACAAGGGCCATCCAGTCCAACTCTCTGCCATGCAGCAAAACACAATCAAACCAGATGATAACCCAGCCTCTGCTTAAAAACCTCCGGAAAAGGAGACTCCGCCACACCCTAAAGCAGCATATTCTACTGCCAAACATCTCTTAATATCAGGAAGGTCTTTCAAATGTATAGGTAAAATTTCTTTTCCTGCAATTTGAATCCATTGCCCCATTCTCTACAGTAGCAAAAAATAAGCTTGCCTCCTCCTCAATGTGGCATCCTTTCAAATATTTAAACATAGCTAGCTATCATGTCTCCTCTGTCATCTTTTCTCCAAACTAAACATACCTAGCTCCTTCGAACACTTCTCACAGGGCCTAGCTTTTAGAACCTTGACACCCTTCTCTGGACATGTTCCAGTATGTCAACATCCTTCTTGAATTGTGGTGCCCAGAGCTAAACACAATATTCTAGGTCTAAGATCTGACCAAAGCAGAAAACAGTGGAACTATTATTTTCTTCGATCTAGACACTGTCCTTCTATTGATGCAACCTAGTGTATATAATCTAAACCCAAACAAAAATGGCCAATGTAAAATGTGCATACCGATTGCCCAAGATTAGCAATAGTAGGCACTTCTACTTTGCTGGATTGTTGTGTTAATATCTTCTACTTGTGTCTTGAGATCTAGCAGAGTTGGGTGTCTCCTGCCACACCCTTGCTGACTCAGCTAGGTTTCTTTTGCTTACTAAATGGAAAGAGGAAGTCTTTACTTCTGAATAACCCAATGTTTGCTAATAAGATTAAAACAAAACTATTCCACTACCAGCTGCCAATTGATCAGAACTTTGTATAGTCACCCCCTCCCCCCCATCCACAGACTTAACCATTCATGTCTTTAAAACATTCCAAAACAAACCTACAAACAAAAATCCAAAAGGTAAACCTGGATTTTGCCACTTTATAAAGGGATAATTTTTTTTACTGTGCCCCTTTATATATAATGAGACTTGAGCACCTATGGATTTTATCTACAGGAGGTGCTGGGAACCTTCTATAGATACCAGCAGAAAAGAAGGGTCCACTTACATACTTTCAAACAAACTGAAATTTTGTCAACTTTATGATGTTATGGACTACTGCATTTATTTACTTCCCTGTTGGATGTCTTCTTTTTCTGTCTATGGAAGGTGTTAATATAGAGGTGCCTGAACCATACAGTGGAAAGCTATCAATATATGTTGTGTGGGACTTTAGTGGGATATACTTCTAATTAATGCTCCACAGATTCTACTCAACAGCCACACTGCAGCTCTAGTTCAGATCAAAAGAGGCACAGACATCACTGGTTGTGCACCAGAATAACGCATGTATGGAAGCAGGCTTTGCATATCATCGCTGCTTGCTAAGTTAAGGCACTTACACAGAAACAGAACTAGTCCAGTAAACTAAAATGAAAGGAAAAATAAGAAAGCTCTAGTACACAGGTACATCCGAATTAAAATTTAACAGTGGTTTGGGCAATGTGGAAATCCAAAAGATCATTCTGTTACAAACTTTACAAATGGAGATTTACAATTTAATTAAAAATAGTTTATTGCTTTAAAATGCTACTGACTTTTATTAAGCTGCTCTTATTTCCATGCAATTGCTTAATAGATGTTTTGACGTTTAATCAGTACAGATATCTGTGATACCTTCTTCACATGCTATTGCTGCAAACTGACCATCTGGCGGAGACCAAGATGCCATGGATCTCATTGAGTGCAAATCCTGGAGTGTGGTTATTAGAACCGAGTCTATACATTTGTTTCCAAGCCTAGCAAGCGACCCATTCTTTCCATGTTTTTCTCAATGGTGGCTTGACAGGTGATTTCCTTGGCACATTCCATTGGGAACCAGCCTCTTTCCCCATCACGCAATCGCTCTCCTTCATACCAACCTGCAAATCATACATATTAAAAATGTAACAAAAACTCATCTCAAGATTGAAAGAAAAATCCTGCTAAATTAAGTCTAGCGTACTGAGTTTCTTGATGCCCAACCAAATGCTTTTGAGATGCCCACAACATATAATGAAGTCACTAAGCTTCCCTTGGTATTCCTCTGTAGCAAGTTGCCTTCAGTAATATCCCAAAGGCTGGAGGTTACTGTCCTAAGGTCTTCAACTGACAATGTTATGGGTAGACTGGTGATTGGATAATTGTTTTGTGTGCGGCTAAAGTGTTAGCATTACTAGCAGGTCAGGGTTATGAAAATCAGAGGATTAACACCCCACTTGCCCATATGACAGAACAGTGGATATTAAGGGTGGTTCTGAGTGCATTCATGATTGTGGTTATGGTACTATGAATGCAGATGCAAATAGGAAAAAAGTTCATAAGCCTAGGCTATAACACTGTAAGTAGCAAACAAGGATGCAAGCCCATATATTTAATATATAGCGCACATATATTAATATCTTGAATGAAGGCATCTTACTCTTTAGAAATAAAGGAAATAAATAAGTATTGCTTCTGGATTATGGTCCTCTGTGGTACAATTTTGAGGCAGATGCTAAATACGAGCCCTACAATAGGTTTCAAAGCAGCCGTGTCCACTAAACAATATGAAAGCCAACTAACCATCATTCACTTTCTGATAGACGAGAACTACATCAGCAACTTGGAGGGAGAGTTCATCTGACTGCTTGGCAGTATAGGACCTGATGACTTCCACTTGGGTCAGGGCTAAAACAGAGGAGAAAATACTTACATGGACAATCCAACAGAAAGCTCATGTGTGCAGTATACATCTACAAACATATGACAACCATATTGCTTCTCATCTTAATTTGACAACTGAAAAAGTGATACTGTATCTGCATTTGTTATAAACAAAATAGAATGTAAACAAAACAATAAAGTGCAGACATGAACTTAAAAGCAGAAGGACCTATCTCTGGTTACAGAGCTTTAAAATGTCGTTCAAAACAGAATTGCCACATCTAGTATCTTTTTTTATTTCAGAATATATAGGAAGAAAATTCAAGCAACTATTCTAAAAGTGATAAGATCACAACATGCATGTAAGCACTTTGTAAGATGATTATTTCTACTATGTTCTCAATTATAGCACAAATACAAGGAACAATATAATTGTTCTTAAATGTTGCATAATATACAATATCTCTCCAAATCTCTCAAAACAGCCAGAAGTCTGGCATGCTTTCATTTTTTGTTAATATGATAAAAGAATTTCAAAGAACACAGATAATTATATTTATGGTCTTTCCTAACCTGCCTTCAATAAGCAAACATTAAAAGAAGAAAGCAAGAAATTTAGATATTCAACTATATTCCACAGGAGGTCACTATGGAGTACAGCAGGAATGTCAAACCCCTGAAAATTTTTCATTTCTCTTACTTGTCCTATCCATACTCCGTCTATCATTGCTCTGACCAAGTGCAGTTATCCAGCGAGCCCGTTCATTTCTGGAGAAAGAGGAAAAAAATAGTTAATTGATATTGTTTTTAATTAATCAAAATCGCCAATCACTTTTATGAAAACAAATTAAATATTCTTTTTAGTGGGCTATCAAACTATATGGCCAGAAACCAAGTCCCAATGTTGGATACATGCAATCAGAAATCAAGGTAACTTCTTTGTTGACATATTCCTGACACACTGATAAAAATGACAAAACTGAACAATTAGTAACTCAGTTCACATGTCAAAATACACCTGAACTATGGGGAGAATTTGTCAGGACTGAATGGTGTGTTGGTGCTTGCTGCCTAATCATTCTTACTCCACCTGAAAGCAGGAGTGGCTAAATGAACCACAGACTCTCCACCCATAGATTACAGTATTTGAATTGAGAAATCTCTCTAATAAGCCAGAGACAAATCCTAAATTTTCCTGTTGTCTTGTGACTGTGGCTTACTTGGTGAAACAAAATCCAGAGTTCCCAGTTTGGACAATGAACCCAACATGAAGAGCCTGTTATTTGCACCAAGTGGGAACAACCTGTGAGCATGCTTAAGTATGCTTCTAAATTAAAGATGAAGACAGGATTCTTTCACAATTCTGGATTATTACATTTCAAGGCAACCAATTTTCCTCAGGCCACCCTGTATGTCTACGACTGATCTACAATGCAAATTAACTTTGCAGTTTGGGAGTTCAATAGACCCATTTACCCTTCTTTAACTTTTTATGATCAATTACAATTCCTGTTAGAAACAAGCATGGTATAGTGGTTTGAACACTGGACTGTCACTCTGGAGACCAGGGCTCAAATTCCTGCTCAGCTATGGAAACACAGTAGGCGACCTTGTACAAGAAAGCAACGACAAACATCCTTTTCAAGAATTTTACCAAGAAAAGCTCATGACAGGGTTGCCTATGGGTCGCTATAAGTCAGAAATGACTTGAAGGCACATGACAACCACCGCTTCCACCCACGTTCTGTGCAAGGGACAGGAAGCAAAATGTGTGTAGCAAACTAAAAGAACTGAAAAATATGACTTAATGTCACATTATTTGTATTTTGATTCTATCTTATTTTTAATTTCACTAATAATAATAACTGTATTTTGTATCCCGCCAAAACAAAAATAAAGTTGTTGTTATTATTATTATTATTATTATTATTAGTAGTAGTAGTAGTAGTAGTAGAAGTAGAAGTAGTAGCAGTAAAATAAATGTCTTGCTGACAGGACTTAGGGTGGCTTACATGGGGATCAAGCCCAGTCAAACAGATTAAAAGATAATACATTAAAATTACAAATACAAAACATCATAAAAACATAACCATCAACAATAACCAATAGCCTAACATAGTGGTCATATACTAAGCTAACGGATGAGGCAGGGGCTTGTGCAAAACAGCTGCAAGGGTAGGACTGATAACAAAGTGTAGGAGCCAGATGAAAAGTATAGGCTATAAGAGCCAAGTCAATTAGTGCAATACAACTATAGGGCAGGGACAATGGTAAAGTGCAGGAAACAGATATTTAGTTATGACTGGAGGGGCAAAAGTTATCTAGTGAACTGATTTATGGAAAGTGGACAGGGTGATCGCTAATCTAATCTTCCGGGGGAGAGAGTTCCAAAATCAGGGGGCCACCATTGAGAAGGCCTTCTCCCTCGTCCACACCAATTATGCTTGTGATGGAGGTGGGAGCGAGAGAAGGGCCTCCCCCCAGAAGATCTCAGAGGTGATGTGAGTTTGGGATGAAGCACATCACGGAGTAAAATGTCATTCCCTGTATTATAAAAGGAAGTTCTCCAGTTGCAAGGTAAAGTGAAGCACTCAGTTTTTTCCCATTGCACTGTGCTGAATGTATAGCTCAGACTTTGACGTGTTCACTCTCTGAGTAATCTAATAAGCCAGTCTCATGCATATGGCTGCACTGATCCCTGAAGCAAATGCCACTGGGAGTATGCATCTGGATTACTTGATCTCCCCACACAAAAAGATATTCAACTTAGGTTGCCAATTCTTTAAATACAGTACAGTAAATCTGTACTACTTAGATGACACACACATGAGGGTAGACCCAGAACATGGAAAAAATGGCTTTTTGAATTGGAGCACTTCACAAACTTTTTCATGCTCAAACTTTTGAATACTACATTTAATATGTTGGGAAATACATCAGTTACAGAAGTTAAATAAACAACTAGAACTTCCTAAACTGCATTCACATACAGTTCTCTAGGCAAACAGAAGATTCCCCCCCCCCCCCAAATAATATCCCTGGCAGGAGATCTCCATGCAGTCGAAATATTAATCAGTATCTAAGATGACAGTTTTTTCTCACACAGAAGATGGCAGCCTCTGCCTACACAGAATAACATGTGTAGATTATTAGAGCTCTAAAATGTTCCTGCTGCACCCAAACCAGTGGAAAGAGCACATTGTTAAAAGAACAATGGCTTGGGAAAGTCAGAGGTGAAATCATTATATTAATTTAATTTAATACATTTTCACCCTGCCAAATTAACTAAAATTGCCCTGGGCAAAATTTTGATAAGTAATGAAATAGCCAGGAATAATCTCCTTCCAAAAATCATTCATACAAATGGCTAAGCTACAATCATTTAGAAATGAACAGACTTCGAGACTTCAGCATGTCATTAGACTCTAGTTCTGTACAAAGCATTTCAGTTCAACATGATCTTCTATGTGACCTTTTTCAGGTTCTCTTCAATTCACTTGGGCCTTGTAAAGAAGGAAAACATTTCAGGGAAAAGTTATACAGTACTTGCTTTTAAAAATCTCAAAGTGATGTCTTAACATACAAGTTTAATTCGTTCCGTGACCAAGCTTGTAACTAAATTTGCTCATATGTCAAAACAATTTTTCAATTGAAATGCATTGGAACTCCATTAATAAATTCCACCCCCAAACCAACACAATTTCCCCCTATAAGAACTAGGTCACGGAATAAATTACAGTAAAATCAACAATTGTAGTTTTCCCCTGCTCACTCCCTGTTGGAGGCCTCATCAACAACAACACCTGTTGGAAGCCTCATTGGAGGCCTCCCTGTGGCACCTTGTGGAGGAGGCCCCACGGGGCTTGGGGCAGCCCTTTTCCATCTGCCAGGCCCAGCGCAGGGCCTGCCAGCAGTCTTTGGCAGAATGGGGAACAGCCACCCCAAGCTCCGTGGGGCTTCCTCTGCCAGGCGCCACAGGAAGGCCTCCAACCCGTGGCTCATAACTCAGATCGATGCCTGCAACTCAAAGCAAGAAATGGGCAGAGCAACAGCTCATATGTTGCAAAATGTGTATGTTGGGTCGTTCATGAGTTGACGTATCACTGTAGATCAAAGGTGATTTATGACATTTTTAGACAGTTGAGAGTTTACTTCCCACATCACAAAGAGTATACATGAGGCTAGCGTAAAAAAATGACATTTCTTACAAAGTTTCCATATATAACGAAAAGCCCGCTATTTGTGCTTTAATAATAATAATAATAATAATAATAATAATAATAATAATTGTTTTCACCAAAATATAATAATAAATAATAATTATATTATTACAACCGCAACGTATTTTTTGAGTGACTTTTTGTCTTTTTGGTATTACAAGGAGGAGGAATATCACACAGCTGAAATCCTGGCTCATGTGTTTTATGCTCTCCTGTGGGTTTTGAGGATTGTACTTTATCCACCAGCACTATCCCTAAATCGTTTTTGCACCAGTTTACCCACCTGTGAGAGAAATTCAATTTACTGTTAGTGTTTGTTGGTTCGATGCCTGTTTTATAATGTTGTTGTTAGTTTTATTATGTTTTAAACTGTAATGTATTGTAGTGTGCTATATTTTAACTGTGTTGTTTGGGCTTGGCCCCATGTAGGCCTCCCCAGTCCCTTTGGGAAGATGGAGACAGGACACAAAATAATTATTTGAGGTTTTTCTACAGTACTTTTAAGAATAGGCCATGCACACATTTTTAATTTTTAAAATATAATCTATGAACAATTATTACCGCGAGGTGGGGTGCTTTAGCTGTAATGAACTCATTTTAAACATTCTGGAGTTTTAGCCCATCAGATTTTGAGAACGATACCAAAGAGATTGTAATAATAAATGGACACTTTTCTCAAAGCTTTCAGACACATGCCTGGCTTGCTAGCTCTGAGAAGCACTAAACAAATCAAATCAGTTTGGTACCCAGTTAAGAAATGGAAATAAAATTCTGAGAGATAAGGGTACCAACCAAAGATATTCTGCCTGGAGGGAAGAATAAGATTGCACTCTTGCCAGTACATGTGCAAAGAGCAAATTGTAGTGGCAGTTCAGCTTTCCCTCAATTTCAACAATAGGAGAACACTGTCCACCATCATGGATGCTAAAGCAACACTGTAGCACTTTTGACACTGAGAGGAGGAGGTTTGCAATATAAGCTTTTGTAGACTGAGTCTACTTCATTGGGTGCAGTATGTGAAAGCTTATGGCACAAACATCCTTCTCTGTCTCAAAGGTGCTGTAATATCCTTTGAAAAGCAATCCAGATTAAAATGGCTATGCCTTTGAATTCTGCCACTCATGGAGACAGCTGACTGAGAGAAAGACATGACACTACGAACCCTTTCATACCACATAGTTGTAGTAAAATGATTCAACTTTAATTGCTATGGTTCCAAGTCATTTAAATTTGGGACTTTAGGGTGGGGTAGAATTCAGTCCTAAATACTGTAAAGGCATTAGCTGCTTTTTGATCTTGGAAGCTAAGCAGGGTCAGTCCTGATTAGCATCTGGATGGGAAACTACCAATCTATACCAGGTGCTATGGCTATTTCAGGGGATGGAACTGGCCAAACCAAGGAACTGTATTCCTTGTGTAAGAAAACCCTTTGAAATTCAAGGTTATCTTAAGTTGACAAGCAATTTGAAGAAACACTCTCACAACTTAGAATCCACAGCCAGAAATCTCTAGTACCACACCAAACTACAAATCTCATGATTCTACAGG